CTATTGGATTGAGCACAGGGTGTGAGCCGGAGATAGGTTCTATCCCTGACACTGCATTTTGCACAACCTTAGATAAGTCATTTAACCGCTGTGCCTCAGATTTATTTTTCTTCTACAGTGGAGATAATACCCACTTTATAAGGTACTTTGAAACCTCGGGATACTAAGCGCTATATAAATGACCATTACTTTATGGGCTTTGGATATATGTCATTCTTTTAACATGACCTCTGTATTATGAGTAATCTGTCATCCTGCTGACCAGTAATGGCTCTCCACTTGGAGAGTTTGATCAGCTCAGATGGGTTTTTTGGTGCGTGAAAACCTGATGAAAGTGAGCAAAAGCTGATGGCCTGACTCAAAAGTGCCGAGCACCCACCGCTCCCGGTGAAGGCAATGCGAGCTGGGGGTGCTTATCCTGATTTTCAAAAAGTGCTATCTGAGTTTTTTTTATTTAAAATATCTAGGAGTAAGGGAAGGGGACCTCTCAGGGTATGTGTTAATCTTATAAAATACATAAGTGAGACCAGATTGTCTGAAGAAGAGCTCTGTGTAGCTCAAAAGCTCGTCTCTCTCACCAACAGAAGGTGGTCCAGTAAAAGATATTACCTCCCCCACCTTGTCTCTCTAATATCCTGGGGCCAACCCGGCTACAACACTGCAAAATACATAAGTATCAGCCAAGGCTAATGTCCATGGAAAACAGCGGAACAAAGGCTAGAAAGCTTATCTCCAATGTATAAATATCTGCCAAGCACTCCCAGTCCCCATGTCTGTTACTTTGGCAGAACTACTTTAAAAAGTGGTAGTGGTCATCCTAGTTAGGGTAGGAGTAGGGAGGTTCTATTACCTTTGTATTTGACACTGGTATGACCACTGCTGGAATACTGTGTCCAGTTCTGGTGTCCACATTTTAAGAAGGAAGTTGATACATAGGAGAGGGTTCTGAAGAGATCCGCAAAAACGATGAAAGGATTGAAAAGCGTGCCTTATAGCGGCAGACGCATGCAGCTCCATCTGTTTAGCTTAACAAAGAGAAGCTAAGGGGTGACTTGATCCCAGTACCTATAGGGAGCAAATATTTGATAGTAGAATCATAGAAATATAGGGCTGGAAGGGACCTCGAGAAGCCATCAAGTCCATCCCCCTGCACTGAGGCGGGACCAAGTAAACCTAGTCCATCCCTGACAGGTGTTTGTCCAACATGTTTTTAAAAGCTTTCAAAGATGAGGACTCCACAGCCTCCCTTGAAAGCTTATTCCAGAGCTTAACTCCTTTATAGTTAGAAAGTTTTTCCTAATATCTCACCTTGCTGCAGATTAAGCCCCTTATTTCATGTCCTACCTTCAGTGGACATGGAGAATACAATAATTGATCACGCTCCTCCTTTATAGCAGCTCTTAACATATTGGAAGAGTGATCCGGTCACCCCTCAGCCTTCTTTCCTCAAGACTAAACATGCACAGTTTTTTCTACCTTTCCTCATAGCTCAGGTTTTCTAAACCTCTTATCATTTTTGTTGCTCTCCTCAGGACTCTTTCCCAATTTGTCCCCATCCTTCCTAAACTGTGGTATTCAGAATGAGAAACGGTACTCCAGCTGGGGCCTCACCAGTGCCGAATAGAGCAGGGCAATTGCCGCCTGTGTTTTACATAAACACGCCCTTTTGATACGTCCCAGAATCATAGTTGCCTTTTTTGCAGCTGAATCACATTGACAACTCATTCAGTTTGTGGTCCATTATAGTCCCCAGATCTTTTTCAGCAATTTTGTAGTTGAGCATCTGATTATTCCTTCCTAACTGAAGTACTTTACACTTGTCTTTACTGAATTTCATCTTGTTGAATTCAGACCAATTTACCAGTTTGTCAAGATCATTTTGAATTTTAAACCTGTCCTCCAAAGTGCTTACAATCCCTCCCAGTTTGGTGTCATCTGCAAATTTTATAAGCATGCTCTCTACTCCATTATCCAAGTCATTAATGAAAATATTGAATAGTACAGAACCCAGGACTAACCCCTGTGGGACTCCCAATTTAACATCAAAACATTGATAACTATCCAAGTACAGTCTTTCAATCAGTTGTACACCCACCTTATAGTCATTTCACTTAGACCATATTTCCCTAGTTTGCTTATGAGAATGTCATGTGGAACTGTGTCAGAAGCCTTACTAAAATCAAGGTATATCACATCTACTGCTTCCCCCAGGTCAGTAATCCTATCAAAGGAGGAAATTAAGTTGGTTTGGCATGATTTGTTCTTGACAAATCCATGCTGGCTATTCCTTATAAACCTTTTATCCTTCAGGTGCTTACAAATTATTTAATAATTTGCTTCAGTGTCTTTTCAGGTATTGAAATTAAGCTGACTGGTCTGTAATTCCCCAGATCCTCCTTGTTCCCCTTTTGAAAGATAGGTACTATGTTCAGCCTTCTCTTGGTCTGGAACCTCTCCCATCCTGCAGGAGTTCTCAAAGATAATTGCTAATGGCTCCAAGATTGCTTCAACTAGTTCCTTAAGCACCCTAGCATGAATATCATGAGGCTCTGCTGACTTGAATACATCTCACATATTTAAATATTCCTTAACCTGTTCTCTCTCTGTTTTGGCTTGTGTTCCTTCAGTGTTCATTGTGTTGAGTATCTGGTCATCATTAACCTTTTTAGTGAAGACTGAAGCAAAATAGGGATTAAGCACCTCCGCTTTCTTGATGTCACCAGTTATTAGTTCTCCTTCCCCACTAAGTAGAGGACCTCCACTTTCTTTCATCTTTCTCTTGCTCCTAATGTAATTAAAGAACCTCTTCTTATTGCCTTTTATGACCCTGGCTAGGTGTAACTCATTTTGTGCCTTAGTCTGTCTGATTTTGTCCCTACATACTTGTGCTGTTCTTTTGTACCCCTCCTTAGCAATTTGACAATGTTTCCACATTTTGTAGGATTCCTTTTTGATTTTCAGGTCATTTAAAGAGCTCCTAATGGAGCTATATTGGCTTCTTACTATTCTTCCGATCTTTCCTTTGCTTCGGAATAGGTTGCAGTTGTGCCTTTAATATTGTCTCCTTGAGGAACTGCCAGCTCTCTTGAACTCCCTTTTCCCTTAGATTTTCTTCCCATGGGACCTACCTACCAGTTCTCTGAGTTTGTTGAGGTCTGCTTTTTTGAAGTCCATTATCCTCATTCTGCTGCTTTCACTCCTTTTCTTTAGAGTCGTGAAATCTATCACTTCATGTTCACTGTCACCCACATTGCCTTTCGCTTTCAGATTCACTACCAATTCCTCCCTGTTGGTCAGAATTAAGTCTAAAATGGCTGTCCTCCTGGTTACTTCCTCCACTTTCTGGAACAAAAAATTGGGCTCTTCAATCTAGCAGACAAAAGTATAACAAGATCCAGTGGCTAGGAGTTGATATCTACTGGACAGCTTTGGAACCCAAAGAGAGTGGGAGAAAATAGCTACAATAACAGAATCATAGAATATCAGGGTTGGAAGGGACCTCAGGAGGTCATCTAGTCCAACCCGCTGCTCAAAGCAGGATCAATCCCCAGACAGATTTTTACCCCTGTTCCCTAAATGGCCCCCTCAAGGATTGAACTCACAACCCTGGGTTTAGCAGGCTAATGCACAAACCACTGAGCTATCCCTCCCCCCCAACAGCACAGAGAGGGAGAGACTGACATAGCTTGGTTCAAGCATTGGGCTGCATGAATTTATTTTTCCTCATAACACATGGTGACTTATATATTCGACTCTCATTTGGTAAATTCAAGGATCTAAATTTAAGCATATTGCATTCGAAGAGGGTGTGTGGAGATCAGGGAGTGGTGGAAAGTTGTACCCTTTAAGGCTGTTTGTTTTTCATTTGCCACAGTGGTAGCCACTGCTAGCCCAGGCCTCAAGGGTAGAGCAATGTAATGGTCACATGCAGCGTGACATTGAACTTGTATGTAAAAGCCACATCAAAGCTTTACTCCGGAGGTCTGATGTGAGACTAATTTGGCATCTACATTCAGTTCCCTGAAAACACCTGCAATCGAAATGAAAAGAGAAACAAAATCAGTTTTTCCTTCAGTGCTTTTTGCATATGACATGACACTGATTGCCAGCCACAGCTGTGCCACCATTGCCAAATCCCCTGAATTTGCTTTAGCACCAAGTAGCTTAGAGCTCACTGTCTTGGTCAGCTGCTTGTCTAATGATCAGTTAGTTGTCATCTCCTCCTAGGCACGATGTGTTTTGAAATGGATATGGCTTATTCTTAGAGCCTAGTTTAAGCCCAGAGAATGCAAGACGAAAGGGAAATTGTTCAAAAGAAGGTAGAATGTGTAAAGGGAAACTGCCAGCTGGCACCACCCGCCTTCTGAACAACTTCAGAGTCTGAATCTCCCTCCATTTGCCCTGGGGAAGCTCTTCTGAAGGTTATAGTGACTCTGAAGCCACTAAAAGTAGCATTTTAAAAAGTAAGTGGCTTTTCTGGCTTGGTGCTTCCTTTTGGAAGGCACGTAAAACTCGATGATTAAAGCATGAGTACAGGCACTGCAGGGAACATTGCCCTGGTCAGGGGTTGGGCAGCGGTTCTCAAACTTCATTGCACCGTGACCCCCTTCTGACAACAAAAATTACTACATGACCCCAGGAGGGGGGACCGAAGCCTGAGCCTGCCTGAGTCCCGCTGCCCGGGGTGGTATGGCCAAAGCCAAAGCCTGAGGGCTTCAGCCCTGGGTAGGGGGCCTGTAACCTGAGCCCTGTCACCACGGGCCAAAGCCTGAGCCTTGCCACCCAGGGCTTGAAGCCCTCGGGCTTCAGCTTTAGCCCCAGCAAGTCTAACGCCAGCCCTGGTGACCCCATTAAAACAGGGTCACGACCCACTTTGGGGTCCCCACCCGCAGTTTGAGAACCGCTGGGCTAGATGATCCAGGTCTCGTCCTTCTCTGAGGATTCTTAGACGCGGGCTGGAGACAAAGTTACATTTGACATGAGACCTTCTTGTTCTTCAGGTGCCTGAGGTGGTGAGCCATGCTGGGCAGGAGAACAAGACACCCCCAAGAAATCAGCAAGCACCGGATGAACCTGTCCCACCAGGATGCTGTGCCCCAAAGGATCAGCCCATCCAAAGAGTGTGACATCAGCCTGGAGGTGTTCAGCAAATCCACACCTGAACTCAAACAGAGCCGCAAGCTGGCACAGCAAGCCCGGGACAGGAGAGCCCGCAAAGCTGACCTCAAAGACTCCAACGGGAGGGAGGCAGAAACAATTACCTTTATTTCTGGCACAGCAGAGGCTCCCCAGACCCAGAGCTTGTGCTGTCTTTCTTTGTCTCAGGCCTGGAACGCCTCCAAGGCTGTTCTCTGCTGTATAGTGACCTGTGGGGGCTGCTTTAAGAATTGCGGCATTCACATCCCCTGTCTGGGTCACACTGAGACTTCGATTGATGATGGAAGAAACAGAGAGCAAAATGGACGTGTGCCTAGCAACAGCCCTGCCAACATCTCCCCCGTTGAAAAGAATGGGAACCAGATCAAAAAGAACACTATGGGGAGCAGCTTCAGTTACCCAGATGTGAAACTGAAGGGGATCCCTGTCTATCCGAACCGGAGCCCTGGCAACCATACAGATGCAGATTCGTGCTACAAAGAGCCCCTGCCAGAGAAGACCTTCAGGAACAGCATAGAAAAGCCACCACTCCCCAGCAGCCACCGGAGCTCGGAGGAGTATTACTCCTTCCACGAGTCTGATCTGGACCTGAGTGAGTTGAGCAGCTCTATGTCCAGCAAAGAGATCGATGTCTTGATCTTCAAGAAACTGACGGAGCTCTTCAGCGTCCACCAGATTGACGAGCTGGCCAAGTGCACGTCAGACACTGTCTTCCTGGAGAAGACCAACAAGATCTCAGACCTGATCAATAGCATCACTCAGGACTACAACCTGGATGAGCAGGATGCTGAGTGCCGGCTAGTCCGAGGCATTATACGCATCAGCACCCGGAAGAGCAGGGTCCGGCCCCCCATTTCCATTCCTGCCACCAAGAGCCACGAGGAGAAGGCAAGCAGAGGAAACGCACCGGACAGCGGCAATGAAACCATGCTGGAGTCCCTAATCACCAGCCAAGACGGTACGTGCAAGTCCCTTGTCCACACTAGCTTTGCAGCTCAGTTCCCTGTGTTTGAGAGCTGGGTTCACCTTGGGATATGGAACCCCAGACTCGTGAGAGCTCCTGCTTTGGAGTTTGCAGGGAGTAGAGTTGGAAACTGAACTGTAGCATCAAGGTTATTTTCCTGAATTGGGGGAGTCTCATTCTCCTTCTAAACCCTGAAGTTGGCCACTTAATACTACCCATGTCCCTGAGAACCCACTTTGCAGCTATTATCCTTCTGCATAACTCACCATACTTTACTCTGCCAGAGGGGTTTGCGCTGAGTGATATAAGGGGCTGGCCATACACTAGTCCTGGCTCGCCTCCCTAACCCCATCTTAGGAAGCAAAGCCATGAGTCAAACTCAGGTCACTGGGATGATCAGATCTGGCATATGCCAGAGCACTTCCACTAAGGCTAGTAAGTTGGCCTTCTTAATTAAGCTTTGACCAATGTTGTTCTTGGATAATGTTCACCTCCTGATGCTTTCTTCCCCATGCCTCATTCTCAAGCCAAAGGAATCTCAGTTTCTCTGCCTATAGCATGAAGGAACTTTCCCAACCCAGTAACAACTCTGAAACAGAGTTGTCTATCAACAACCTTGGAAAGCTGGCTGGGCTGGGGGGTGGTTTCACCATGTTAATTTTCTAATCTCTTTCATTCCGCTTCCGGAAAGCCTTTCCTTCCCCTACTCTCACCCTTAACTTAGACTCCAGTAACGTAACCTGATACACTTCCAGACTTCTGAACTGCACATTGAGACCGGTCACTAGCTTGTCCCCTATCGTTCTTCTCTTAGGTGTTAGTTACCTGCAAGTATCTCAAATGCTGCCTAACCCTGAAAGAAAGGGGGGAAACTGCCGACAGAGTGTGAGGGCCTCTTTCTTTGGAATATGCACCCCTCCTTGTCCGAGTACCTGAAACTGCTCACCTGCAGGACATGCCACAAGGCGCGCTGTCTTAGGGCTCTTGAAGAAGCAAATATTGTTGGATGTGATGGGGAAAGAGTAAGACTATTCTATTTTTGGGCTGGCTGGTTATGTAGTTTTAGGGGTGCTGTTCCTTTAGCCTATTTAAATAGTTGTCAGAAGCACAAGAATGTTTCTTAAACCTAAAGAATAAAGAAGTAGTGAGCTTAGCCCTGATCGCCAGCTAGATACGTGCAAGTGATAGTGGCTATTGGGAGAGAGCGTTATATGATGCTGGCAGCTGTGTCTGCACATGGCACCATATACACCTTCAGTCTTTCCCCTCTCAGCACTTCTCAATTTTCTTTCCAGATTTGGCTGTGCAGATATCAGAGGAAACCACAGCAGATGTGATAGCCAGGAACATGAGGCCGTTCAGCGCTGCAGGTAACACCTCCGGGTCTCTCTCAGTGAGAAAGCAAAAGCTCTTCCAACTTCCAGCTGTGACTTTGGGAGGTGGCACTTATTGAATAGAGGCCATTTCCTTCCTTGGGAGGACCCAGGAGAGTCCCCAGATATATTGCAGTGGTGAGGGAGCTTCCCAAAACCTCCCCTACTGCACATGGCCTCAGTTCCCAGTCTGTAACACAAGACTAGTACCCACCTCTCGGGGTGTTGTGAAGCTTACGGCTGGACTCTAGAAATGCAGGGTGGTGGCGTTGAACCTGTGCTTGAGTCTCATGATGCTCCTCATTTAGACCTTTACTGGTGCAAAAGAGAAGGAAACAAAGATCAGAGTTTATACAACTCCCTCCCCACACTTCTCCTGGGGCCTGAGACCAAGCCTGAGGGTTTTCAGTCCCCAAACCTTCTGACAAAGTTTGAAGGGAAGTGAAAGCATAGTTAGGATGGGATTTTGACTTCAGTCTGAGGGTAACTTGCAGCGAAGTGAAGCAGCAGGGGCGAATTATTTACCAGCAGATGCCTTGGGCTCCGTTCCTCTCCCATGTTGCTTTGAATGTTTTGCATCAGAGAGCGGCCTTAGGCTGAGCTGTTAGTTCCCCTGTGTGTGTGAAGTGACAGGATCTCTGGGCTATTCCCTGCCTGAGGGGGTCATGCTGCTTTCTCTTCCCTCGAGATATATACGAGATACGTATTTGAGAACGCAAGACCCTTCATGGCAGCTGTATCTGTCTAGCTCCTGAGGATTTTGCTGCTGAGTCTGTGCCATTTTATGTGAACTTATCCTTTCCCACCCTCTCCCCCCCCCTTTTTTTTTCTCAAGGGTCTCCAATGAGCAGAGCTTCCTCCTACCAGGACACAGAGACTGATTCGTCTGGAGCACCGCTGCTTCAGGTTTACTGTTAGGATAATGGACCAAGGCAGCGCTCTGTGGCGGGAGAGGTCGCTGGGCCTTACGGCACACAGAGCTCCTCCTCTCTTTGAATATAAAATGTGCTATGCCACTTTATTTTCTTCAGTTCTCTTTTTCCCTTGTTAAAGTTCAACTTGCCCCTCAATCTGTGGGGCGCATTGGATTTTTTTTATGTGGGGGATCATAAAAGAACCTTGAGGAAATGGACCATGAATCTAGTGAACTTACTCAGACGGTGGGACGTGAGTTCTGGGAACAGAAGATGGACCAGGGGAGCCTGACAAAGGGAATTTGTTCTGCCTTTGTGGGAACGTGCAGTTCTACTTCCACGCTTGGAGTGCAGTTTTAGTACCCAGCCAGACGTCAGCCATCCAGCTGTTGCCCAGCGCCAAAAGTCAGCTGTACAGTTTTTGCCCTTCCGGCACTGTAGACGTTAATGTATGTTGTGTAGCTTTGTTGATGATCTTTCCCCCACCCCAGGAATGTCTTTCCATTGTAGCAATTCTGTTGAGGCGAACACCAAGGCTGTAAGAACACCCAGCTGTTTAAGATCCCAGATCTCTACTTACTGTTGCTGGCCTTGATGGTCCCAGAGGCTGAGTCCTCTATGCACAGTAGCCAGACAAGCTTTCTTGACAAAGTGCCTTACGCCTGTCCTGGAGGGAACACCTCAGAAAAGAGAGGGTAGTTCAGCCTCCGGGGTTTGTTTAATCTTTGGCCTCTTTGTAGTGGATGCCAACAAAGCAACCAAGCCAATTTAGTGCTAGTTGCAGTGTGGACAACTTGTTGATGAGACTAACTGGACTGAGACCCAACTCTGGTCTCTCAGGTTATCATGCAACCACTGAATAACAACTTTAAATCACTGCCAGTCTGGTGAGAACCACTGACATGAGGTATTAAATAGACACAGGTGTTGATTTATAACTCGTTTGCCAATCAGCTTTTCTCTCACTCATCTGCCGAGGCTCACATTGCCCTTGGTGGTCATGTTAACTGTTGGAGAAAGCTCTGAACTTGGGTCTTGGCAGGTAAGCGAAAAGACCAGACTTCTTTTAAAATTACAAATCAGTCCTCCCTGTAACTCTGCCTGTGTGTTTGAGATCTTAAATGCTCCTTAGAAAGGCTCCCTGGAAAACTTCGCTGTTGCCTTTAAAGGGAGGGAGAAGGGCTTTGTGGGGGAACTCTTCATGAAGTGTATGTAGGGAACTGATTATTCCTGTGTAAGTGTGACTCTCACTCCCCTTCGTCCAGGGGTGTTCAGCATGCTCACCCTCTCTCCTAGGAGTGGTGCCCTCCCTCCTGCATCCCGTTACAAAAGAACAGGTAGTGTCGCCACCCTAAAGGCACCAAACTGGGTGACCTTGAGGGCTGCAGCTTTGCAGAAGCCTGAGGGCTGCACCTCGCTGACATCTCCACTGGCTCGTTTATCAGGAAGTGAACACACCCAGCCATGAGATTTGTTTATACACTTTGGTGCCTTAGCAGGGGAATAGAAAATGCTCGTTGGTGGCATTAACCAGCAATGAAACAGAAGTGTCCAGTGCTGCTAGAGACAGAGTGGCAAAGGTGGGCTCTGGCCCTGGTGTAGGCCGCACTTCTGTGCTTAAGCTAAGGGAAGGTGTCTTGAGCTTGTAGGTTGGGACTCCGCAGTCTGTGTTCGCTTCCTGTGCTTTTCAAAGATTTGGAGATTTAGTTCCTCACTTCACTAAGTAGGGCTTATATAGCTGCCAGTTGTGGACAGAGCCCCTGTGAAACACGCCATTCGCCTGAGCCACATTTAAGTCCCACTCAGACCTACTTGCTGTTCTTGTAAATCACTTGCTTTTAAAAAATACAGATTCAATCCTATCCCTTGAAACATCAGAAACACTGGCTCACGAATCGCCGCTGACTTGGCAGTGATATTTAGGCTAAATAACCAATCCCACAGCACTTTGAAGCTTCTCCCACATTTGGCTGTGTTTTCGTGTGGCTCTGTGTTCCACGTTCGGGCCTTTGGCGGGCTCAGAGGGATGGTCTGGCAATGCAGGAGCCACTGAAGTTTTGGTGAGTTGATTGTTTTTCCTTAGGCTTTGTTTTTAAAGCAATTAAATGTAAATTTGAAAAAAAAAAAGCCCTCCCTCTTGTTCATGACCCAAAGTAGTGGCTAGGACTCCTGGCAAACAGAGAGTGACTGTAAATACGTAATATTTTACATACTACCTTTGATGGGCCTTGCGGACTCCTGAACTAGTTTGTAAATATGTACTTGGATAAGTTTACTTTTTAAAATGGACATTTCCGTGACAAGGTAGCCTGGTGCCTACTGCTGGGACAAACTGGGCAGTAGGTTGCATATAGCACCTATGACGAGGCAGTTCCACGAAGACCTGCCCATGGCTGCTGCCCAGATGCAATAGACTTTTACAACTGTTTGTACAGCCACTTGTGCCAATAGTGCCTGACAATGGATGTGGATTAAAATGCTGAGTGAAAAAAAGGTGGGTGTTAGAGGTGTAAAACTATCCCTGAAACCGGCAAACCTGTTGTATGTTATGTTTGACTCTGTCTTGCTCGTTTTTTTTGTTTTTTTAATTGCTCCCTATTTAATTATGCTTTAAATTTCAACCCGAAGCAGATTTTAAGCACAGCCTTTGCTGAAGGGTCTGGGAGAGAAGGGAGTGTGTAGTGCCCTGCAGCTGGCAGACAGCAGTGCTCCAGCTAGAATTTCTCTTGTGGTTGACCGTTGTGTTAAGTCTGTGTCCCCCTTTTTTTTTCAGTTAATTTAATGCAGCCTGGTGTCTGGGGAGCAATGGGGGTCTGTGTAAATAAAGTAGCCTCTTGGGAGCTGTCTGTGTGCAGGGAAATGTGTGTATGGGGGGGGGGTTAATAAAGGGGAACCTGTCACTGACAATTCTACAGAACTGAGGCCAAAGTGGGGACAATCTTTTCTACAGTGTGTCTCTTCCACCCTCCCCGCCCAAATCTTGTGCTGATTTAATCCATCTGGAGGAGCCACACCCTCATGAAGGGGGTGGGGATGGGGGGGGGGAGGGAGGTCAGAGTTTTTTGTTCTCTTGACCCTCTGACTTGAAGGACCAGTTTTGCCTTTTTAAAGTCAGTTACTCAACTAGCAGCTCGTTTGCAAAGTCCTGCTCCTGCACCTGCTGTCACTCTCCTTTTTTGGGGTGGGGAGGGGAGGGAGATGGTCAATCAAAGGAACTCCCTGGTCTCTCTAGCCCTGTCATTAGACAAGGGAGTGTGGCTGCTTATAGGGTAACTACCTTGTAATAAACTTTTTCAAAGGTATGGGGGCGTGGCAAGAATTGGTGCCAGACCCTTCTTTCTCCTCTTTGCAAGGCCCTTCCTAGTGGCAGTGGGGCTCCATTGAGTGAGACCCGATTGTTGGCTTGGAAGGTGGTTGGTTTTGGGGGGGGGGGAGGGTAATCCCCTTTGCGGGGTCAGGGGTTGCTGGGAGCCTTTCAGTCTGACCTGAGATCTGGCGCTTTCTGCCTCTAAGTTGCCGTTTGAATGGTGCTGCTGGCGGTCATGATTGAAAACTCCCCACTGTTGCATGGCTGGTGTGAAACAAGCTGGGTGCTGTCAAACCAGTGATTCCCTGCACAACCCCCCCATTCCATTTGGGAGCCACAGATCTCTGTCTAGAGAGGCAAAAGAGTGAGTCCAAACTCCCCACTTGTTCCTGCAGATAGGCCCTCCACGTGGAGGTCCAGGGAAAGACGTTTGCACTGCATTTACTGGCATGGTTCCTGTTGGCCTAAGTGGAGGACATCAGACTGTAGGCTTGTCAAGCTGCCATCTTCCACCAGCACTAAATAGCCTGTCAGACCCCTGCAGGGAGACAGCCTCCCTTTTTAAGGTTCTTCATTTTCATTTAAAAAATATAAAGGGAGGAAAAAATCCTTGTACTAGGCTGGCGGTGGGTCTTGGCTGGAAGGGCTCTGCCAGAGAAGAACCTTTGCTTGTGAACAGAGCTGTTTTACTGGTGAACCAGGGCAACAGGTATGTAGAACTAATACGGCCAGCTCCACTTGAGTGGCAGTAACTTAAGCTGCCTTTCAGCCAGCTTTCCGAATAGCCTTCTCATCCGGGTCCTGCAACTGGGCTCTGGCTACAGAATGTCTTCTCCACTATGCCAGTCTGTTTCGAAGCAGCTTTGGAAGAGAGTCCAACAGCTTGCAGCCAGCTAATCACAGGGCAGCCCCCTCACAAGAAGCTGCTCTAGGACGAGCCATTTAATCATAGAATCATAGAATCTCAGGGTTGGAAGGGACCTCAGGAGGTCATCTAGTCCAACCCCCTGCTCAGAGCAGGACCAACCCCAACTAAATCATCCCAGCCAGGGCTTTGTCAAGCCTGACCTTAAAAACCTCTAAGGAAGGAGATTCCACCACCTCCCTAGGTAACCCATTCCAGTGCTTCACCACCCTCCTAGTGAAAAAGTTTTTCCTAATAGCCAACCTAAACCTCCCCCTCTGTAACTTGAGACCATTACTCCTTGTTCTGTCATCAGGTACCACTGAGAACAGTCTAGATCCATCCTCTTTGGAACCCCCTTTCAGGTAGTTGAAAACAGCTATCAAATCCCCCCTCATTCTTCTCTTCTGCAGACTAAACAATCCCAGTTCCCTCAGCCTCTCCTCATAAGTCATGTGCTCCAGCCCCCTAATCATTTTTGTTGCCCTCCGCTGGACTCTTTCCAATTTTTCCACATCCTTCTTGTAGTGTGGGGCCCAAAACTGGACACAGTACTCTAGATGAGGCCTCACCAATGTCGAATAGAGGGGAACAATCACGTCCCTCGATCTGCTGGCAATACCCCTACTTATACAGCCCAAAATGCCGTTAGCTGCCTTGGCAACAAGGGCACACTGTTGACTCGTATCCAGCTGCTCATCCACTGTAACCCCTAGGTCCTTTTCTGCAGAACTGCTTCCTAGCCATTCGATCCCTAGTCTGTAACAGTGCATGGGATTCTTCCGTCCTAAGTGCAGGACTCTGCACTTGTCCTTGTTGAACCTCATTAGGTTTCTTTTGGCCCAATCCTCTAATTTGTCTAGGTCCCTCTGTATCCTGTCCCTACCCTCCAGCGTATCTCCCACTCCTCCCAGTTTAGTGTCATCTGCAAACTTGCTGAGAGTGCAGTCCACGCCATCCTCCAGATCATTAATGATCATTAATTTACTCCTCTTTTCCAGCTGCTTTATGGGACCCAAGTAGGTTTCCCTTCTGTTTTGCCAGCTTCCTGATTGGGGTTAGCTTATTTTGAATTAGTGGTGGGGAATGGCTGAGTGCTACAGAATTGCTCCGTTTGTTTTGTACTGGTGATCAGGCATATTTTTGACACACCAGGCCACCCTAAAAGCTGTGACTCAGGTTATTACTTATTTGTACTGCAGCCGTGACTAGAGGCCTCACCCACGATTGGGGGAGCCCATCAAGTTACCCACTGTGTACACACATGGTGAAAAATGTCCCTGCCCCAAAGACCCATGTAATCATACCGAGCGGGCCCTGGGTTCCAAACCCTCATTAATTGCTGTTCTAAGAATATTTCTAGGGAGTAACTAGGATGTCTACTGCCACCTTAGACTGTTTAAAATAAAGATCTGGCAATGCATCCATCTCACTTCTTGGTTCCTTGTAGAATAGCTGTGAAAGTGCTTTAAATTCTCACTCCCAAGTCCGTGTGTCACTTTGTTTTTTGTCTGCTGTGTTCTCCACATTCATGCCTGGGTCTTGAATGAATTTGCAACATTTTTGCTATCGGAAGAGTTGTCATGTTTTTGTCAGTCCAGCAATTTCTTAGGTTGTGTCTATACTACACAGCTTTTAGCGACATGGCTGTGTCACTACAGCCGTGCTGCTAAAAGTCGGGCAGTGTAGCCGCTGTTTGTCGGCTCTCCTGCCGACAAACTTCCACCCCCAATGAGCGGCGTTCGCGTTGTCGGCAGGAGAGCGCTCCTGCCAACAACACGCTGTTCACACTGGTGCTTGTTGCGGCAAAACGTTTTTCTTGCCCGGTTGTGTCTTTGGTTTTTTTTAACACCTCTGAAAGACACAAGTTTTGTCATTCAATTGTCAGGGTCGACCTAGTCTTAGTTGCTGCATCTGGCTCCACTCTGAGTTTCAGTATTGGGTGTGGTACTGAATGGGGCAAGTGATCTTGGGAAGAATATGGTGACTAGGGAACTAGTACTATAACACTACAAGAGACCAAGAGCTGAGCAACACAGGAGGAAGGGGATTTTTAGCCAGACTGGTTTTAACATACATTTACCTCCAATGTCCAAATGAACACTCATGAGAGAGGATTTCCCCCCTCCCACCCCGTCAGTTGAGAGCTCACAAAACCCTCAACTTATGGGTGTTTCCTTAAAAGAGAGTCTGATTCATGATGAATCGAAGTGTTAGTGCGATCCCATTGTCTCACACCTGTTACATCAATATCTGTGGATTTAACAGGAACCGGTCTTCATGATGAACATGCATGCAGCTAAAATCAACAGGAGTAGGACTGAGGTTATGTTGAGAAACCACCTGTGAATTTACTTCCTTTTGGGAGCTTGAGTCAGCATCTTTATTTCACCGTTGACATTTTGATTTTTTTTGGATAAGTTTTCAATGAAATAAATAGCAAGTCTCTGCTGAGCATGTGTCTTAATCGCCATTGGAAAACCAACTAATGGTGCTCTTCAGAGATTTGATGATCTGTCACATGACTATGCCTTTAGTAGAAACCTAGTACCATGCAGGTCATTGACCTGAGCAACCATGGTAGCACCTTCATCCTGGCTGTGTTCCTCTGCATACATGTGAATCTAGAACATCCTTGGGCAAAAATCAACTCCATATGCACAGGCCCCTGCTTTCAAACCTCGTGACAGTGATTCACTTTTAGTTTGTTAAAGTTAGCAAAAAGCGACTGATCTTCCTGTGGCTGAACAGACTCTGGTTAGGGGTGGCAATTTTGATTGAATGTATTTCCGGAGGTTTCATCACATGACATCTTTAATTAAAGATTAATCTTTAATTGCCGGAGACTCCGGGACAATGCGGGAGGGTTGGCAACCCTAACTCAGGTCTGTGGTTTTTAATTACAGTTTGGAGCATGCAAAGAAAAGCAAATAAACGCCATGT